CCCGAAACTCTGGCTGATTGGGACCCACACCCAGTTTCACACCTTGGCTCAGGCGATTAGAGGATCATCAGGGGGTCCTTTTGTCCCTCTGTGGGGGGATACTCCCACTAGGTTTAAATCTGGGACTCTCCACCATTTGACCTTAGAACTGAAGAAGCTTCTCGAATGAGAGGTGAAACGTCTTCAAGTAACTTAAAGAAGTCCAGACGCTTTTCTTTATAAACTACTTCACTTCTTTACATATTTAGGTAGCTGATAACAATTTAATTTAACTCCCAGAAATGTTTAATATCTACTAATACAGACTTTAGCAGGATAATATTGTGACTTCAAGGAATCACTGTTAGTATCAGTATCAGTACAATTACAAAAAGTAGAATGAAAAACAGTTCTGTCATCTGCGTTCATTAAACTGACTTCATGTAATTCATCTTCCCACTAACAGAGTGCAAGAAATGATCATCAATAAAGAGTTAAATGAGATGTTAGTTACATCAGACCTTTTCACATTTATCTGATTAATATTAGAAGTTATTGTTTCTTTCATTAGATTATTTTTAAAAGCAGTAATTTTCATAGAATGGCAGAGACATGAGTGATCATGAGTGATGAATATCTTCAATTCAGATAGAATTGTTGAATGTCCGTTTATTTAGTCATGGAACATCCACACAGGCTGGTTGTCATTATTTGGGAGAAAATAAAAACAAAACCCAAAATGTCCTCTTATTGTGAAAATCTCCCTTAATTCCTGTCCTGCTTCAATAACAGTAATAATATGTGGAGAAGTTGAAAATGAATTTTTAATTAAAAAAGAAATAGCAAACAACAACGACAACAACAACAACAATGAATGAGCTCAGGCTTGTCTAAGATGCAGAGGAGCTGGTTCTTGACTCAGATTCATAAAAAACGCTACATAATAATATTCACTGTGAAGGTTTGAGTGAAAAAAGGACAAAACAAAATCTGCTTCATGAAATAATCCCAGCTTCCATCTTAAAAGGACTAAAGACAAAGAAGTTGACAAAGAGTCATTGTTTAAAACTTAATTTATCCATGTGTCTGAAAACATGTTTCTGATTGATATACTACACCAATCAGATGAATATCCAGGTGTGCTAAACTTCACAAAGACTGACTGAGGAACCAGGAGACCAGAGTGTAAATCCAGGATAAAGATGTTCAGTGAATGTGGTGTTGAAGGTGTGGAGGTGGATCAGAGTGTCAGAGGAGACTCTGTAGAAGGACAGAGTGCCAGCAGGACAGTCCACATACACTGCTACAGTGTTAGAGACGGAGGAGGAGGAGATGGACATTTCTTTTTTACTGTGACATACAGAACGAGGAGCATCATCAGAGAAGAGCAGACTCCAGGACTGGTCATTAACTCCAAAAACATATTCAAAATCATCTTGTATCCTTCCAGCTTTGTAAATCACTGCTACATTAACGGTTCCTCTACACTTGACCTCCCAGTAACAACGACCAGTCAGATCATTTCTACAGAGCAGCTGATGATAGAAGTAAAATCTGTCTGGATGATCAGGATATGATTGAACCTCCTCCACATGTGCCACCTTCCTGTTGTTGTCAGACAGTTTGAGGTTTGTGTGTACTGTGTTTGTGTCAATTGTGAGTTGACAGGAATCTGATGGAGAGAACAAACACAATCCAGCTGCAGTTATTGATCCATCATCTGTTCATTGATTGACACTTGGATAACTACTAACATCAGAGAAATGAATGACTGATGAAAATGTTTCAGTGTTTTTTGTGTTCATTAATCATATTAAAAAACACACTTACACTTCCTCAGACCTGGTCTCAACCATTGGACTCCAGCAGGCTCCACCCTGAAAGGAAGAGGAGGGTCAGACAAGCACAGTCTATGTGCATGCTGAACATGCATTTAGTGTGTGTATGAAGAATGTATGTTCATACACACAAGGACATTACATTGTTCTAATATGCATACTAGTCCCTGTTAGCTCACAGTAGAGGATTTCTGGACTGACTTAGCAAGAAAACAGTAAGACTGGAAGGTTCATCCAGGAGAATGAACTTCTGTTGGACTCCCTGGCTGCAGAGGGCTCTTGCAATCTGGACAACCCTATGCTTCCATATCTTGGTGCCCCAGCAAACACAGATCGGGAGTCAATTATGGTTACCTCCATTCACGAGGAGGATCAATTAACCAAGCTTGAACCCAGGCCAAAGTGAGCTGAAAACCATCAGCTATGTGTCTCACCAGTTAATGTCCTGGGTATTTCACCAATAGGTTGAGAAGCAAAGAGTCCACAAGATTTTGCCCATAGGAGGTGACAACTCTCCCCACTGGTGACTGATTTGGTCCCCCACATGTTGTCCATCGGAACGAGCTGCCCAATGGCTTGAGGTCTATTACAAATATCTCAAAACCCTTTTTAATCTCACAGGCTTACAATTAATACGTGTGTGTATCTAAACTACAGTTTAAAAGGTCATAGTTTTTTTTTTAATTCTATGGCAAGCACCTTAATTTAAAATTCATTTAAGTGTGAAATATAAATCAAACTCACATTGACATTTGTTGTTATTGCTAAACTTGACAAGTTTCAATGAATAGTCATAACACACACACGCATGAAACAGGAAATAAGTGAAGCACTTTCTGCTCTATTAGACATTCTTCCCCATACCTGAGAGCTTCCAGCCTCCACTGTGGATCATTCTGTAATGCTGAAAGCATCCTCGTGCCAGAGTCACCTGGATGATTGTAGCTTAGGTTCAGCTCTTTCAAACGGGAGGGATTGGAGCTCAGAGCTGAGGCCAGATAAGTACAGCCTTGCTCTGTGATCAGGCAGCCCGACAGACTATAGACACAAAACAACAATCTATCTGTGAATACTTCACTCAAGATTTGCTTTCATTGGTTTGCGTTTGTTTTTCACATACAATGTCATACATCCTTTCAATCTCCAATTCAATTTAGCTTGATTTAGAACATGACAATCCTCATAGATGACAACAGTTCTCAAGTAAGGCCTAACAATATTAGAAAGTTAACTCCAGCAACTGGATGAGCCCCAGAGAAAAGCTCTTGGTGATGGTGGGGAGAAGGAATTCTCTTTAACATGCCAGTGTCTCTGGGCCAGCTGTCCAATTTCAAACTACATACTTTGAAGCAGACCTTTAGAAATGCAGTTTCAAACAAGAGATATACAGGCATTGTACAAATAAAATCTATGTGGTACTTTGGACTGAAAGTAACTAACAATAATTTGTCCTAAAGTGTTATACTAAGGAACCTTCAGGTTTAGATACCTTTAACAAATCATATCTTAATATGCTTCTTTTGGCTGCTCTCTCAAGTGGTCACCACAGCAGATGAACCTACATATTTATTTTGGCAAAGATTTTTTTATAATGGAGTTCTAAATGAGTTTGCAGTTTATCCACTGATAAAACTCAGCTTTTAAATTGTTGTGGGTGAAAAAGTCTAAAGCCTGACCTGAGAGTTTCTAGTTTACAGCGTGGATTTTTCACTCCAACAGACAGCAGCTTCACTCCTGAATCCTTCAGGTCATTGTTGCTCAGGTCCAGCTCTCTCACACTGTTGGACTGGGAGCTGAAAACTAAAGACAGAGCTTCACAGCTTTTCTCTGAGAGCTGACAGTCATTCAGTCTGAAAAAAAAAATCTAATTAAATCACCTTTAATGTTGAATCTGCACAATTAAATGGAAAAACAAAACAATAAATACTGAGGACAAATGTGAAAGACTTCAAATTTTCTTAGCAAAAACGAATGAAAACCAATGCGGAACTGGTAGATTTAATTGTACTAGGTTGACCAGTATCCAACTAGACAGGTCTGTAGTGCCATTTGTGACTTTCCAAATTTTAGTATGTATGATGTATGGAGGTAATCGTACACTGAAGTAACTCAGACAAGCAACAATGCACCTATTCATTTAGTGATTCATTTAGGAGCTTTTGCAGAAGTGACGGTAGGAGCAATGTTTAGCAATCATTGTGTGAGCTGAATGAAAATGTTGTGCTGAAAGTTTGCTGTGTTTTAAATGTTTGGTAACTTAAAAATTAGTATAACAATCAGCATGTGCAGGAAGCACATGGGGCAGGACTGAAAGAAGATGAGTGGAGGAAGGATGATAGCAGACGACATGGCAAATAAGAGAGATAATGTGTAAGTAATTTTTCCAGGGAGACTACAGCCTATACACTCAAAGGATATTCAACTGTAACTGCAGCATAAACAGGGAAGGAGGGGATGAATGGACTTGAGAAAAATATAGCATGCCGGTGAAATTTATAGTTCTCACAAAATAGAAAACCTGTCAGATAAGAAGAAATAGAGGAAAAAGTGAAACAGCGATGCTGGAGGCAGTCATGAATCATTGAGTGAGATGTTACTCAGATCTCACATGGAATGACCAAAGGAGTATGATTCAGTTTGATGGCAGCTGCAAAGGATGTTCAGCCATGGGTGGGGCACTTCTGTATGGAGATGGAATGTTTCTTTGGTTCTTGCTTCCTCTGGAAGCTCCAGCTTACATCAAAGAAGTGAACGTTGCCTAACTGCACCTAAACTCTCAAAACAGTTTAAATTTCTGGTTTAACAGTTTTCTTTTTGTTTTCTATTTTCTCTCTCTCTCTCTCTCTCTCGCTGTGTGTGTGTGTGTGTGTGTGTGTGTTTATCACAATAGTATCAAATAAATGCTGAAACCTAACCTCTGCAGTGTTACGGTTTACTGTCGTAGAACAGTTAACAAATTAACTTTAATTATTTAACTTCTGAATACAAATTGTGCCAAAGATAGAAAGTGATGCCAACACCAGTGATGCACCAGTGAAAAAAATAAATCACTGACTCAAATTTATTTTAAAACTTAAGGTATGAACACACACTCACTTACATGACTTTTTTGGAGGCTTTGACCACAGGCAGCAGCCTCAGAAGAGCTTCCTCTGAAGCAGAGTATTTCTTCAGGTCAAAAACATCCAGATAATTTTCTGATGACAGTAAGATGAAGACTAGAGCTGACCACTGAGCAGGAGACAGTTCATCTGTAGAGAGACTTCCTGAACTCAGGGACTGCTGGATCTCAACCACTAGAGAACAATCATTCAGTTCATTCAAACAGTGAAACAGGTTGAGGCTTTTCTCTGTGGACAGGTTCTCATTGAGCTTCTTCTTGATGTACTGAACTGTTTCCTGATTGGTCTGTGAGCTACTTCCTGTCTGTGTCAGCAGGCCTCGTAGGAGAGTCTGATTTGTCTGAAGTGAAAGACCCAGGAGGAAACGAAGAAACAAGTCCAGGTGTCCATTTGGACTCTGTAAGGCCTTGTCTACAGCACTCTGGTAGAAGACTTTTTGCTTGTGTTTAATTCTAAACAGTTTAAATGACCAAGATTTCTTTTCTTCCAGCAGATTTACTCCGGAGTTGATGAAGGTCAGATGGACATGAAGAGCAGCCAGAAACTCCTGAACACTCAGATGGACAAAGCAGAACACCTTGTCCTGGTACAGTCCTCTCTCCTCTTTAAAGATGTGTGTGAACACTCCTGAGTACACTGAGGCTGCACTGATATCGATGCCACACTCTGTCAGGTCTGATTCATAGAAGATCAGATTTCTTTTCTGTAGCTGATCAAAAGCCAGTTTTCCCAGAGCCTCAACCATCTTCCTGCTGTCTGGACTCCAGGGTGGATCTGTCTCCGATCCTTCATCCTTGACCTTCTTCAATTGGACTTGCACCATCATGAAGTGGATGTACAGCTCTGTGAGGCTTTTAGGCAGATCACTGCTCTCATTATTTATTGTAAGAGAATCCAGAACTGTAGCAGTGATCCAGCAGAAAACTGGGATGCGGCACATGATGTGGAGGTTTTCTGATAACAAGATGTGGGAAATTATAATACTGGCCTGCTCCTCATCTCTGAATCTCTTCCAGAAATATTCATCCTTGTGTCGGTCATTGAACCCCCTGATCTCTGTCACTATGTCAACAAACTGAGCAGGGATCTGATTGGCTGCTGCAGGTCGTGTGGTTATCCAGACATGGGCAGAGGGAAGTAAATGGCCCTTAACTAGGTTTATCAGCAGCAAATGAACTGAGGTGGCCTCTCTAGGGTCAGTCAGGATCTTGGTGTTGTTGAAGTCCAGAGGAAGTCGACACTCATCCAGACCATCAAAGATGAACACAACCTGGAAGTCTTCAAAGCTGCAGATTCCTGATTCTTTGGTTTCAGTAAAGAAGTGATGAACAAGTTCCACCAAGCTGAAAGTTTTCTCTTTCAAAAGATTCAGCTCTCTGAAAGTGAACAGAAATATGAACTGGATGTCCTGGTTGGCTTTGTCTTCAGCCCAGTCAAGAGTGTATTTTTGTGTTAAGACTGTTTTCCCAATGCCAGCCACTCCCTTTGTCAGCACTGTTCTGATTGGTTCTTCTCTTCCAGGTGAGCCTTTAAAGATCTTGTCTTGTCTGACTGTTTTTTCTAGCATGTCTGATTTCCTGGATGCCATTTCAATCTGTCTGAGCTCATGTTCATCAGTGACCTCTGCAGTCCCTCCCTCTATGATGTACAGATCTGTGTATATCAGATTCAGAATGGTTGGGCTTTCTCCTTTGGTGCTCGCCTCAAACGCACACCGGAGCTCCCTCTTTAGTTTAGATTTGAGTTCTGACTCACACTTTAGAGGACCATCTGAATGACAAAACAACATTATAAGATTATTTGACAACTTGTAGTCAATTGTTGACCTTCCAAAACATTTCTTTAATTCACTGGGAGTCTGTGAGTCAATTAAGAAAGTATTCAGATCTCTTGTTTTTATGCCGTAAATTCATTTTAAATGAATTAAAAAACATCGACACACAGAAACAGTGTCTCATCAGATCCAAGAACCCTTTTCCTCTCTGAAGTATTACTGCTGGTTAACAACCTGAAGCGTATCTGACTTAAAAGGAGTTTAAAAGGTTCATTGGTAGAAATTGTGAGGTGGCCCTTCCAGCAAGTTCTCTTTGAAAACAACAAGAGCTCTCATCGATCAGTGTATACATGTTTCCGTGTTAATGACAACTCCTCAGACAAACTATTGATATCCTACCTGTTGGTGAAGCCTCTTGAGTTGAATTGTCCATCTGTTTATATTCAGTAGGTTTCTCCATTCTTAATCTATAAAAAAAAGAGAGAAAACATGAAGCACATTAAGTACTGGAGATGTTTTGGCATAGTTACATATTTGAAAAAGCCTACACACAGCATATCAGCACAAAAAGCTAATACCAACTATCACTCACAGTGGTGGAGGGGTGATGGTGTGTGCTTGTTTTGGCCACCTTGAAGTCACTGAATCAAAGTCAAAGTCCAATTCTCAACCTGACCGAGAAGAGAGCTGTGCACAAACAAGTGTCCACAAACATCAATAAACTGAATAAACACTGTAAAGAAGAATTGGCAGAAAATACATAAAATATTTACTTTAAGTTATTACTGCTTAACGTTTTTCTATAAGTTGAAGCATAGGATGTAGTTTTTCACACACTGTGTCTGCATTTTGCCTTATATGACATAACATGTCATTTGATTTTTATCTCCAGTTGTTTTTATCTGGCAGATTTCATAACAAGGTTATTATTTTATTTCATGTGAAGAATAATGACCAACATTATGAAATAAATACCTATGTCATGCAGAATTACTGCATAAATACATGTCATACCAGAGTAATAAACACAATAGTATCATCAAAATACTATGCACACCAAGAAAAGAAGTCAAATTTAATATTTTAGAAATATGTCAACATCTGATTTCAACTTAGATAATCAAAGTATGATTATATTTAAAATATATTAATTTTAAGTATTATAATTAATTATCTTAAAATGGTTTGGATAATTTTAGACAGAGGTTAAAAATATCCACTTTTGGTTGGTCAAACCCAGTTTGGCTGTGTAACAAATGCACCACATGTTGCAACAACCGCTCCAAGTATTGGCACAAACTGTTAAAATTACTTCCTCTTGGAGGAGAGCCAACAGTATTTATTTCGAGTAAGAGGCCTGCATATTGAAACTATATCTGCAGGAGATAACAAATGATCATTTACAAAGCTCAACCTGTCCTCCATCTACCTTTTGCTCTGTGTTTCTACAACAGGCTGACTGATTCAGTCATCCATTCAGATCCAACACAGCTTAAGAATTATAGGCCTATCTCTAAACTCCCATTACTGTCAAAAATTCTGGACAAAGCAGTTGCTGATCAACTTACTGCTTTTTTAGAAAAACGTGACATTTATGACAAATTTCAGTCTGGTTTCCGTAAGTGTCACTCAACAGAAACCGCATTAATTAAGGTCTCTAGTGACATTATGATGTCGGCTGACCCCGGAGCATCCACAGTCATGGTTTTGCTGGACTTAACATTTGCCTTTGACACTGTTGACCATACCATCCTGATTAACAGGCTCCGGGACATAGTCACTGTCAGTGTGTCCGGTCTTGCGCTGGAGTGGTTTCAGTCATACCTTTCCAACAGATCTTTTAGTGTCTTTGCAAATCAGTTTATGTCACACTCTAAGGACCTGACATGAAGGGTCCCACAGGGTTCAGTTCTGGGACCAATTCTTTTTCTCCTGTACATGTTACTCCTAGGACTTATAATTAGGCAGTTCCCTAATTTGTCTTATCACTTTTATGCTGATGATATTCAGCTCTACTGTTCTTTTAAGCCGATGGAAGTCCATAAAATGTCCTTTTTTCATAAAATGTTTAGCTTCCATTAAACAGTATCTTGGAGAAAACTACTTGCAGTTGAACTCTAAGAAGTTAGAAACATTAATTATTGCCCCTGAAAGCCAGATAGCTATAATCAAAAAGCATCTTGGTTCTCTTGGATCATCTGTTCACCCGAGCCTCAGGTATCTCATGTTGTTTTTGATTCTGCCATGTCTCTAGAGCAACACTCTAGATTAATTAGTAACTGTATTTTTCAGCTATGAAATATTTCCAAACTGTGAACTTTTTTTTGTCTAAATCAGAGTTAGAAATGATTACCCATGCTTTTATTTCTTCTCACTTAGATTATTGTAAAAGTCTTTTTCTTTGTTTGAGCAAAAGAAATCTTGACCGTCTCCAGTTAGTCCAGAATGCTGCTGCAAGGCTTTTAACTAAGACACGAAAAAGAGAGCACATTACACCAGTTTTACGCTCATTACACTGGCTTCCAGTACATTTTAGAATTCATTTTAAAATCTTAGCTTTGAATCATGACGCTCCTGTCTATATTTCTGATCTTTTAGAACCTCACACTCCCTCTCGCAGCCTGAGATCATCTAATCAAAGGCTGTTGGTAGTTCCCTGAACAAGTTTTAAAGCCACAGGTGATAGATCTTTTAGAGCGGTGGGCCCAAGGTTGTGGAATTCTCTCCCTCCATCTCTACGTTGCCTGGATTGTATTTATTCTTTTAAACATCATCTTAAGACTCACTTATTTAGACTAGCTTTTAATTAGATTTGCGCTGTATGTTTGATTGTACCGTATTATGTTTATCTGTTTTATATTATTGTGAAGCACTTTGTGTTTTTTATCCTGTGAAGAGTGCTCTATATAATCAATAAAGTAAAGTAAAGTAAAGTAAAGTAAAGTAAAGTAAAGTAAAGTAAAGTAAAGTCATCAGTAAGTGGATCTGCAGCAACAATGACTGAGTAACACTTCTGCTGCTCTGATTCTTGGATTGTACACACACACACACACACACACACACACACACACACACACACACACACACACACACACACACTGAGTGAGGACACCACCTTGAGAAAGGGTAGGATGGGGAGCTCTAGAGTTTCATAATCAGATAACTCTGTTCTTGCAATAACTGAAAGTTACTGTGACGGTCTGTGGTTGTGCAACTTTGTGCTTTTACAAATGTTACGCAACTTAGTCTATTTTTTTCTGATCTGAGCTGGTGATCTGAAATAGATCAACAGCTTTAAAAGTTATGTAACACCATGTATTGTTTTATAACTTCTAAAGTTACAATAGTGTTTTAGGACAAACCTTAAACTTCATTTTCATTTTCAAATCCAGCTGTAACATAACATTGTACAAAAAGTAGCCCGTGAGATTCCCTTAACTCTCTTATTACCCAGCAACTAAGCATCTTTTCAAGTACAGGTATACCTACACTGACAAACAGCACAAAATAGATCCAGAATTGAATAAGTGAGCAAAGAACAGTCCCGATACATTAAAAAATAAGCAGGAGTAATCAAACATGCAGCAAATCAATCAATAGGATAATGAAGCGCAGGTGAAGACAATCAGACAGAGCAGACACAAAAGAAAGCAGTAAAACAAAGGTTTTCAGTAAAACATGAAATAACTATAAGACAGGTAACACAGGATAATAACAGGAAAGGGACAAACATTCAGAAAAAAATTAAGAAGGTAAGAAAACAGAACAGAAGCATAAAAAAACAAGAACAATTATAAAACAGAGAAAATATGAAAACTGTGAAAAGTTGTAGAGTAGAAAAAAGAAACTATTCAAATAAAACAGAAGAATTTCAAGAGAGTAGAAATTCTCAGGTCTTTAGATCGAAGCTTAAAGGCAGTGACAACAAACAACAATGGACTCCTCACACATTGGTGAAAACTAAACACACACTGAAGTGGATGTAAATGTCAGTCGCCTTCAGCCCACATTCACAGGTCCAGCTCTGACTCCCTTAACATGAACTACAGAGCTGTTAATGAGAAAAACAAAACTGTCTTCATTACCGTCACATGGAGCTTCCCCCGGAGACCATCATCTGTAACACCGAGTTCTGACAAGGGAGGGAGGCTAAACGTTATAATAAGGAAACACCCAAAGAGGCATTTTTGGGGGAAGTTTTGCAAAATCAGTCCATTTAAAATCTTGAAATCACTGTTTTGTTACTGAAGGTAGTTTAGTTTGAGTTGTTTTTGGCTGAGCTGTGCCCTTAATCACTGATGTGCAGGAAGCAGGATACACCACTCAAGATTTCGGTAAATCTTGGTTTATTTTCCACAAATCAACCAATCAATAAAAAAAAATAAAAAAATGTTAAAACCCACAGGAAACACAAAGAAGCAGAAAACACTGTAAATATAGATGATTTTTAGACTGTAATTCTGTTTTGTTTTCAAGTTTAATTGACTTGGAAAAAAGTCCAAATGTAACACACTAGA